CAAATGCGCTTTACACAATTGATGTGTGTATGGATTGCGATAACAGTTGTATGAGCCCCTAATAAAATGTTTAAAACAAAACAAAAAAACAATGTGAACTTTGATAATCGGTTCTCAACAATTATTTGTTATTATTAAAGTTTAACATTATAAAATTAACAAAAATAATATAAAACTCATATCCTGGCGAAATAGCCACATGGCAGCTGAAAACTGGATATTCCCTTCCCATTCTCCCGCTGTTCCCTAGCTTGTCATGCATTCTTTTCAAAAATCTGGACTTAAAAAAAAATGTCACGGGATAGGGGACAAATTGTTAAAAATCGGGACTGTCCCGCTAAAAGTGGGACATCTGGTCACCTTATCTTAGATGCCTGGTACCTGATCCCATCGACACCTCATGATCACACAGGTTGGTGTGCTTCTTCCATGTGGGCTTTGTTGTTTCTCAGCTAGATGGCCATTGAAGCACTTCTTGATGAAAATCAAAGACTAAAGTCTGCAAATATGGATTGCAACTCTAAGTAAAGAAAATGAAAATACTGACAACTGGGCCAATAAGCAACATCATGACAAACAAAGAGAGAAGTTGTCAAGGATTTTGTTTTACTTGGATTCACAATCAATGTTCATTGAAACAGCAGTCGAATCAAAAAACATTTTGTGTAGGGCAAATCTACTGAACAAGACCTAGTTAAAGCCTTAAAAATCTGAAACAGTAAAGATTTCATTTTGAGGACAAAGATGCATGTGAAAGCTGGACAAAGAATAAGGAAGTGTGACTGGAGAAGAATTGATGCGTTTGAATGATGGTGCTGGCAAAGAATATTGAAAGTACCATGGGCTGCCAGGACAAACAAATCTGTCTGGGAGGAAGTACGGCCAGAATGTTCCTTACAAGCAAAGATAGCAAGGGAGACTATGCCTTAGTCTTACACACTTCGGACATGTTATTAGGAGAGACTGGTCCCCGGAAAAGGGCTTCCTGTTTGTAGATAGTGAAAACGAGGAAGATGAGACGATTGACAATGTGAGGATGGTGCAGAACCAGGCATGTTGTGGATTCTGTCACACTTAGGTCAACTCAAAGGCACCTAACAACAACATGGAGCTGGTGGATAACTTTAAATATTGTTTAACAAAGCATATTGGGAGTTTAATAAATTACTAGGGTGGACATTGAATACTTAAATGTACATACCGTGTTCTAAGCCTTTAAAAACTTGTTAACTTATTTATCTAAGTTATATGTACTATTTTTAATTCTACAACATCCTTAGACTTGATAATACTTTTCTTTTATTCATTTATTTTTTTAATAATACTTTTCTTCGGGAACTGGGTTCAAACTGGTTTCCTCCTAAATCTTATGATAGATAATTCAATGAATAGAAAAAGACATGCCTGGTTTAAAAATGAAACCACTTTCCTTCTTACTCCTTTTATCATTTTAGGGATCCTAAAATTGTATTTTTTTAAATGTCAAATTGGAAAGCAGTAATCAGAGAATGCCTTTTTCACAAATGCTTTCTCCACCACTCACCTATTGTTTTGTATCAATACATTTTATGCAACTCATCAATCAGATCTTGGGGTAATACTTTATACTTTGTATCTTTGGAATCCCTTATATCAGTGGTTCTCAACCTGTGGGTCGCGACCCCTTTGGGGGGGGTCGAACGACCCTTTCACAGAAGTCGTCTAAGACCATCGGAAAACACATATTTCCGATGGTCTTAGGAATAGAGACACCGCTCCTCTATCCACACATGCAGATACGCCCACATAAGAGTACCCGGCGTGAAGACTGTTAATCATGCTACAACATGCTTCAAGACAAAATTTCATTTATTTGTCATTAGAAATAAAAATTTCACAATATATAATTACATATTGTTTTTGTGTTTAATCACTGTGCTTTAATTATGTTCAATTTGTAAGAATGAAACGACATCCTGCATATCAGATATTTACATGACGATTCGTAACAGTAGTACCTACTTCACAGTTATGAAGTAGCAACAAAAATAATTTTATGCTTGCGGGCCACCAAAACATGAAGAACTGTATGAACAGGTCGCGGCATTAGGAAGGCTGAGCACCACTGCCTTAGGTATTTGAACTGATGGTCAGTGAATGAAGGGGAAAATTGATCAGCGCATGGGATGCGAGTGAGGTGAGGTATCCTGCCCTACCCCAACACAGTCACACGTTAAGATTATGAATTTGAAAACACTGTTTTCTTGAGGTCATATTCAAATCATGGAATGATGTCAAGTTCCAGTTATGCCATTTACATCTGGGCTTCGATAACAGAGACAAGTTAATTTCATGTTGGGGAAAGATGAAATGTGTAGCTGACGATTTAAAAGCAGGTTTTTTTAAAGCAGTTTTTATGGTCCAATGACAACCTCTTACCCTTCATTGGAAGTTAGGCAACTCCCGAGGAGAAAGGGGTTAGGGATTGTTTTTTCGAGGGCGAGGGCGAGGCCTGCAGGGAAAGGGATCCCTGCAGAAGCAAAGCAGACGCTTCCACCCCTGGGCGCCGGTCAGTCAAAGGGCAGCAGGGGGCAGAAGAAGCTAGGCTGCTGTCCTGAGTTCGCCTCTCCCTGGGCCCTCCTGCTCCTGGTCCCACCCCCACCCTCCACCTCACCCCTGCTCCAGTCCGCCGGGCTTCCGGCAGGGGTAACATCCGGAAGTGCGGGGAGCCGAGGGAGGGAGGCGTAAAGCGGGAGGCGGTGCCCGCCAGGGGTGGAGGAAGAGAAAAGGCAGAGGGAGGGGTTGCCGCCGCCGCCGCCGCCTCGGTGGCCTCAGCCTCAGCCGCCACTGTGCCGTCCCCGAGTGTGTGCGCTTGAGGTCCGAGCCCGTGGATTTATTGCTGACACGGTCTGCGCAGCTCCGGGGATTTGACCGTAGAACTGAAAAATCAGGTAAGCCCTATATCGGCTTCCCGGCATCCCCTTCTGCTGGCAGGGGGTGTTCTGTACTGTCATGCTGTAGTGCTCAGTGTGGCAGCCTGCAGACTCGCACTTCTTCACAACTCGGGTATTTGCCCCACTTCGGATTCTCTTCTCCGTGGCACTTTCTTTTGGCCCTCCTGGGGTGTGTGCCCTGATCATGCATGGCCTATGGTTCCTTGAAGGGACAAGGCAGTCCTTGCCCAGTACTGGAGGTCACATAGACTGAGGCCTCTGTCTGATGACAAGTCGTCATACTTTGTAAAGGAAAGCGTCGAAGAGAACCATTACTAATGTAATAATGACAAATACCTATTTTGCCTTTTGTCTTCCTCTGAGCGCATAAGGTAAACTGAGAGCACTTCCATTTCTATTTCATTGTGTCTCAGTAGTGTCACTCTCGATCCCTGTCACACTCTGTGGCATTCTTGTTTTTGACACTTTCTGTTGTAGACGGTCAGGTTAGTCTAAACACTAGCAACAGGTTTTTTTAAAAAAATCGTTTCACAGTTCAGTAGTTTTTAGGAACTGTTCACTCTTTTCATCATAATCTTGGCGCCTACAGCACCCTGGCTTTGGATGAAGGTTTAATGTGTGTAGAACATTAAATGAGGTGATATTGAAGTGAGGTTGGGAGACGTACAAGGTATCCCCACACTTAGAAGAGTTTACAATCAAGCTCAGCTAGAAATGAAAACAGTGGGTTCTGGCAACTCCACGGATTGAACAACTAGCCTGCTTACCTTGTCTTTTTTTTTAAAAGAATATTTTGAATTGCTCCCTTAAATATTACAGGCTAAAAAACTCCTTGGGGTAATTCTACTCTGTCTCATTGGGGCACTGAATAGAAATGAACTGAACAAGACCTAACAAATCACAGTTTCTCCAACACTATCAGCAACTTGGAGTGATGTCCATATCTTTGTGAGTGCCAAATGTTGGGGATATTGGTAAATTGCATTGGTTTTTATAGATATTTGTTTCCTTTAAGGAAATGAAGGTCAAAGTTTCTATTTTGATCCACTTAGACACATTTTGTTTACATTTACAATTATGTAGCTATGCCTCCAGGAATTAAAATAATGTTATCAATTCAATTTTACTTTACAAGTATTGTGTGTAAAAAATCAGTCCAATTGTCTCGACTTACAGTCAGGAGTATCTTTTAATAATTTACGAATTGAAATAAAAGGGTGCTTTTATATCTCAGGGAAATTGCTTTAGCCTGGCTATTTATGTTAGTTGATTTTGTTCATTTTTAAAATCATGATTGCTGCTGATCTTGCATGACTCTAGTACAGAGGAGAACTTCGCCCTAGGGTGTCTAAGGCTGTAAATCTTTCTGCCTGCGAGCAGCTGGTGGATTCAAACTGCTGACCTTGCGAGTAGTTGCCCAACAGGTAACCTACTATACCACCAGGGCTCCTCCAAAGCAGATAGGATGTCAGAGTTTGCAGAGTACATTATTATTTTTAGAAACTGTAAAGAAAATGGTTTCTGCTCTCAAAGTGTTCATTTGAAGCCCTCTGTCTGCTATTCAGAAGAGGAAAGCATTAAGAGGGCTTTACTGTGAAGACCTTACAAATTGTCATCAAAGATAGAAGAAGAGAGAAAGAATTTCAAACTAGTGACCCCTCTGATGAAAATTCTCAGGACTATTTAGGATAAATTTGTAGTTGACTTCTAGTATCATATGGATACTTAGGAGTTGATCCTCAAGCTAACAAAAGTTTATCGAGAGCTTAGTTTTTAAAGATCTCCAAAGTGTAATCTTTGTTGACTCCTGCACTTCCTTACAGGGGTAAGAGAAAAGAATATCTAATTTTTAGATGGTGATAAAATTATTTGTGCTAATAACTTGAAATTTATTTCTCAATTTAATATTATTAAAATACGATTTCTGTTTTATTATGAAAATAATAACATTAAGTTATTTGCATACAGGTGGTTTCATTTGGACCAATATGTGCTTTCTTTTATGTTATTATAAATTTCATTGTTAATTCCAAATATTGCCATTTATTTCAGTTGTAGAGTCACAATCTAATCACAATTTCTAATCACAACTGTAAATATATTTTTAGGTATTTGCATTCAGATTGGTATCATATTATCTTTAAGTATTTTCTTGCTCATCTGACTTTAGCTAGGTGATGGATGACAAAATTAATTTCAATCTTCAAATAGTTTAAAAGTCAAACTCATTGTGTGATGATAAATAAAAGAATAATTTACCTAGTGTAATATATTCTTTAACTTTGACTGTCAGGGTAGGATTAGGATTCCCTAAGAGTTTCTCCACCATGTTTGTTGGAAAAATAGCCCGCAAATTCCTGTTTTTTGTTTTGTTCTTTTTAACTTTAGGGCAAGTGGTAAATCATGGGATTTTGAAACTTCATTTTTTAAAAATAAAAATTATACACAAAAGAGACCAGTACTGTTCTTATGGTGTAAAGAATAAATCTGGTATACTTTGTTTATTGTTTGCACCGTGGTAACATATGACATATTCATTTGTGGACCAAATTTTATTCCCAGACCTAGCACATGACTAAATGAGATTTAAAGTTAGGAAGTTTGGCTTTAAAAACCGTACTCTTAACATAAAACATAAAAATATAAAACACATATTTTTAAAATATACATATACACGAGTAAAGTTAGGTCTATTGAAATGAAATCCCTTGCTTGAGTCTGGCTAGACCAGAGGAGGTACAGTGGTACAGATAGTAACTGAAAATACAGGGAATCCAGGACGGATGAGCCCTACAGGACCAGTGGTGTGAGTGGCAAAACAGGGAGGGTAAAGGGAGAATGGGTAGGAAAGAGGGAACCGATTACATGGAACTGTGTGTGACCTCCTCCCTGGGGGACAGACAACGGAAAAGTGGATGAAGGGAGACGTCGGACAGGGCAAGATATGACAAAATACCTATTTATAAACTATCAAGGGCTCATGCGGGAGGGGGGAGCGGGGAGGGAGGGGAAAAATGAGGACCTAATGTCGGGGGTTTAAATGGAGAGAAAATGTTTTGAGAAACGATGTACAAATGCGCTTTACACAATTGATGTGTATATGGATTGGGATAACAGTTGTATGAGCCCCTAATAAAATGTTAAAAAAAAAAAGAATTCCCTTGCTTGTCCTACAAATGAAAGCTTATTTATCTTCTTTGCAAGCATGAGTGAACAAAAGAAAAAATGTCCTTTATTGGTTTGATAATTAAAAAAAATAAATCACTTTTATTGGGGGCTTTTACAGCTCTTATAACATGGTTTGATAATTAAAACATAAAATATTGGTAACTTCATAAGGGGATCACTGAAGATATGGGTACTATAGCAAAGTGTGGTGAAGAAATTAGATGATGCCTAGCTATCAGAAAGAATAATGTCTGGGATCTTAAAGGCTTGTCTTAAAACAAGCAGCCATCTAAGTGAGATGTCAGCTAAGTCCACATAGATGAAGCAGGCTACCCTGTGTGATCCAATGACTGAAATAATAAAATCCAAGACTGGAGGAGGGAATTGTATTAACACTTAAATTCTGAACACCCAGTTTGCAGCAGGTTCTAGATGACAGTGAAAGCCTAAAAGCTATTTTCAGGGTTCCCATTTGGATTAAGCCTCTGGTGAATTCCTTCTGACCATTGACCTAGGGTGTGAACAGCCTTATTATCAGACAGGATGCATTGTAAACTAGATTAATGCAGATATACTTAGGTTAAAATCCACCTTATTTGTTCTCTCTTTTGGCCCATTTTAAATTTGTTCTAGTTTTTAATATTTTCTACTTTCTTTTCAATTAAGGTTTTTCTCTGTTTTATTTTGTTACTGTTGTTGAATTTCTTTTTTCTTTTTCTTTATATGAAAACTAGGATAGGTAAATCTATGGAGACAATAGCTGAATTAATAGTTTCTTAGGGTTATGGCAAGAGAGGTTGGGAGGTGGGGGGGGCTAATGAGTAAAGAAAGTACAAAATATTTAAAATTGATTGTGGTGATTGCACAACTCCTTTTAATATGTTTAGAGTATTGAATTATATTTGAATTATATGTCAATATAACTGTTAAACTTTATATATGTGTGCATATATATATATCTGATAACATTCTATGATGCTTTGAAGCTAATTTCAAAAGTAAAGACTTAGAGTTTGTGTTTAATCAATTATATTATTTAAGGATGTACTAAATGACTTAATGTTTAAAATAATATTAGCCTTATTTATATTCTCAGTCTCCCAGGAAGAGAAAGGAAGTGGTCTATGTGTGTTGTTCCACCTTTACAGTGAGCATATCTTTGAACTTGGCCAGGCTTTGATATTTATAATGACATGCATAGAATTTAAACTGTACTAAAAAAGTATAGCAAAAGTTTATAATCAAGCCCCAATCGGAACATTGCTGGTTTAAATTTTGAAACTATTGGATATTCAAAGCATTTTAACTTTGCCATCATATGTTTTGCTGTTTGGAGAGATAGTTAATATAAGATTAAGAGTGGAGACTCTGGAGCCAGACTGTCTAGGTTGGAATCCAAGGTCCTCTGCTTACTATTTATATTACCCTAGGCAAGTTTCTTATCTCTTTATGCCTCAGTTTCTTGAAATTTGTAAAAGGGGGACAATAACAGTATACACCCTATAAGGTTGTCAATGAATCAGTACATGTAAAGCCCTAAGAACAGTGTCTGGCAGGTAGTAAGCACACAATAAAATTTAGTTGCTGTTATTATGTTAATGTTTTATTTGCTATATAAGCAATTTTAGCAACCTCATTACAAATGATAGTTCAGCTGTATTTAGTAGGCTATAGGAGCAATATATTGATCAATCAGTACTTCTGAGCAATATTTAATTCCTGTTGTTAGTTGTCATCTAGCCATTCCAACTCTTGGTTGACCCTGTGTGTACAGAGTAAAACTGTTCCATAGAATTTTCAGTGGCTGTAATCTTTCTTAAGCAATCATG